GTAGTGTATTATAATTTATTATTGCACTTCTGAACATTTGTATTTTTATTGTCTTACATTTTTAATAAAGTGGAAAGTAATGTGTAAATTCTTTAATAAAATAGTAACACGAATCTTTTTCAGCCACAACATTTTTGGCTTAACAAGATTCTAAATATCACCATGAGTTAAATTCCATAAAAGATCATCAGCAAGATATTATTTGTGCTTAAACTATCATAAAGAAGTTGCTTATGAAGGAATTATTCTTTGACAAGAATAATTTCTACATGCCTAAAAGAGCAAACAAATTATTTTATCCCTCTGTTACATAAATTAGATACAAGAGTTACGTACAATCTTTATACTGGAGGATATTCCAGCTAAGAGATACATGGATGTAAATTAATGAAAGAGATACTTAGCAAGATAAGACCAATATTTCTCAATCATGGCAATTCACCAGACAGCATCTTAAAGTTGCCAAGGTTGAGAAACACTAGATTAAAACATTTGAGACATCAGGATATGAAGGCAGAAATAGGTTCAGATTCAGAAGTAACTGGCCAAGCTGGTAACAACTAAGCTTGTGTAAAGCTGCCAGAGAAGCAACCTGTTTGCATGGTTATATCCTCTGTTTTAAACAACAAAAGAAGAAGACTTAATGTAGACACCAGTAATTATATTAGAAATAAGCATTGCTGGTCAGAATCAAGTTATAAAATGTTGCTTAAGGGAAAATACAGTAAATGGAAAACATTTGTGCTCTTTGGAAAGATAACAACCAGAAGAGAGTAATTATTTATGCCACATGTACTAATCAAACCTCTGAAAACCTGTGAAAAGTATGGGCAGAGATAAAGGACTAACTGCTTATTCAACGTTGATCACTGTTTGGAATGGATGTGAAACAAAGCAACCTACTGCGTCACCTCTTGTTATCTGATACAGAACCAATATTCCCCTTCAAGATTCAGTGTCTAATCGGAGTCTGTGATTCATTTGATTGATGTTCCATGGGATGGTGTTTAGAAAAAGAGGGAAGGGAAAGGAAGTTAAGCTGTAAAGAACAGCACACATTTGACTTCCAATATTTAATAAGGGGGGTTGTATATCATCTTTTTTTTAAAAAAAAAAAAAAAGCAAGAGGAAAGAATAAATGAAACATTCTTATTAAAGGGTTAGCCATGTAGCAATGAATGCTGCTTGTATAGCAAGATACTTTATAAGGACAGATAGGAAAACCAAAAGGAAGGTAATATAGAATTCAACATCCCATCCTCTTAGTTTTTAATCGAATTTCGGTTTTAATTGGGTTGTTTTAAATTCGGGACAATATTATTTAATTGTTTTTTTAAATGTTTTTAAATTTTATATGCTATGTTTTATCCTGGCTGTACACCGCCCTGAGTCCCGCAGGAGAAGGGCGGTATAGAAATATAATAAAATAAATAAATAAATAAAATAAACATTACACTTTTATTTATTTAGCAAAAATATCATATAAACTAAATTAATGTGATGCTAAGATAGTTGACCACAAACTCTCAATAAAAGTCACCATAACCTTATGTCTACTAAAAATTCAATGTTATCAATCCTCTACTGAATAAAATATAACCCTGAAAATGTATTGACAATTTGTCATTAAAGATGCAAAGCTAGCTATTAGAAAGCTATTTCTAATAATAGCTTTATTAAAAAGAGAAACACTATTAACTGAAGCATTCTGATTAAATTCCATGACTTTTTGATTAGTACTTAATTTTGAACTAAAAAAATTAGTTCCCCGCTTACTTCTCATAAGTATCTAACTGAACTTCTAAAAAAGGCTTCTTCAGAAGTAATCCTGTTGCCAGCAACTAAACCTTACTTGATACAAAGGAAACTTATGATAATTTTCTCAAAATATTTTGCCTTTCACTCTTTATTACACATGATCAAAAGTAAAATAATGAGTGGCTCTAGAATCTACCATTTTATAATTAATTTGTAAATTGTATATTTGTAAATACTTTGTAGTTCTATATACTACAAAGTTCTATACAGATCACTGTGCTGTTTAAATTCCTGCTTTCCTTTTTTTTAATAATTAGAATTCTCATTATTTTTATCTGTACACAAATTGGAACAGGGCATTTCAAACTGAAGGAAATCTCCCCTTTGATGTACTTTTACTAAAGGATTACCTTCGGTAAATTAGGATACATCCTTACTCTGCTCAAAAACAACCTTGGTCTTATTATGCAACTATTCTGTGAGCCACTATATTAGAAACTCTAGGCAACAGCCATCTACGGATTGAGGGCCTCTACTATAAAGTTATTCCTATAAACAGTTAATCTATTTCTACAGTTTATGTCTTTATTAAAGATTGATATTGAACAATTGATTGATTTTTTTTATTCCTATGCATTTTTTTCTTTTCCTTATCCCTATCAACTTTTTGACATTGTTACACACTCTTTGCAATGTTTACAAACCAACCACGAAGACTCTAAAATATATGTTATATTGAAAAAGGGTATTCTGAACGCTTACTGATGACATTTCACCATATGTATACAGAATACCAGAAGTTTGAACTTAGGGAAGCTAATGACGTTGAAAAGAAAAGAAAGGTGGGCAAAGAAAATTGCTGAATTGAAAAAACTGGATCTGAAAAATAAATTTATCCAGGGGAAAGAAGGCAGAGAATACACTGCTGAAATTGGGAATAAACAACAGGGAGGAATGTCCCCTTTCCATGCCCTCTTCAATAATATGTTTTGAATGTGCATTCAAAAGTAGAAAGATACTAAGTATAGTAGAGCATTGGTTTCATGTTTTAGTAATCTTTTGAACTTTGCTATGTTGGAATGTGGAAGAAATTGGTGCTTGGTACAGACCGAAGCATAGAGCCATCTTGTTGCTTTGACACAGTAGAATAGGCTGTATGCCAGAAGTTGTTGTTTTTTGTTTTTTGTTTTTTGCATAAATGTAGTTTATTCCTATCTTATGAATGGGAGGAAAACAAATTGGCATTGCTGTGTGCCCTCTGTATCATAAGGGCTTGCAAAAATTTTAGACAACTAACTGTGTTGACTCGGTGTCTGGGAGTAGCAGTCGAATAAATGTAGAAAATCCATAAAACTGCTTACAGGGAAGTTGGTATGGAATAAGGCCTTTGCTACACATTTATTTTCAAGCAACAGGCAACGAAGTTTAGATTATTGTGACATGCTCTAAATGGGAGGATACCCTTGAAAGTCACCAAGAAATTGAAGTGCATTCAGAATGCAACAGCCAGACTTCTGTTGGATGATTCTGATTAAGAGTATGTAATGTGTGCTAAACTGCACTGACTTCCAATAGAATTCTAAGTTTAAATTCAAGGTGCTTGTTATTTTATATCAATCCATAAATGGTTTGGGTCCCATCTCCTAATCATCTATTGGTTTGTTTGCTTTAATTACAACTCTAGGCAGTTAGCAAAGTATAGATAATTAGGATGAAGACAGATCAAGCACATAACAATAAAAGTGCTAAAACATTGGAGAAACAACAAAACTGTTGCATAGATTAAACATAGATCAGAAAGCAGGTCAGAAACTATCCTGCTCAATATACTGGAAAAGGCTTTAAGGCTTCCTGAAAATAACAGGCTTGGGTTACGTGGATTTCAAGAGGAATGTGTTCCAAATGATGAGGACAATCACAGAGAAACTTGTATTCAATATGTTTTCAGTAAATTGCATTTTAGGAGCTACAGTCTTTAACTGGAAGGTGACTATATGTGCTGGCCTTGAAAGGCAATCTGGAACTCAGAAGACTTAGCTAGTTACAGGAGTAGCATCCATTCTAAGGACCTTTAGTCTTCTTCACTGTTACCCTAGAGAGAGAGAGAGAATGTTGCCTTTTCCCATAATAGCTTTCGGACTTAGTCTATCTTTTGGACTTTTTAAAATGCTAACTTTATTTTATTACCATATTTTTCAGACGCACCTTTTTCCCCCAAAAAAGAGGGTGAAAATCTGAGTGTATCTTATACTCCGAATGTAGCCCTGCCCAGCTTCTCAAATGGAAGTTTCAAAGGCTGAAAAAAACATCAGAAATGAAGCATCAGAAAAGAAGCCCACAAACAGAGCTTCAGAAAAAAAGCCTCCAAACAGAGCTTCAGAAGCTTTTTTTTCTGAAGCTGTTTTGCAGGCTTTCAGAGGCAGAAAAAAAAAAAAAACCAGAGCAAAAAAAAGCAAGGCACAGAGCTCACAACCAAGGAACCTATTGCTAAAATTCACCTCCGGGAACAGCTGATTGGGGCTATTCCAGGACGCCGATCTACCTGCCAATCAGTTTTTTTCTTATTTTCCTCCCCAAAAACTAAGGTGCGTCTTATACTCTGGTGCATCTTATACTCTGAAAAATACAGTATTTATTTTTTACTATTATTATTTCATTAAATTTGGTATGGTTCCTCATTCTAGGAGACTCTGGAAAGCTTACAAAATCCAACACATAGTAAAAAGTTAAAAATATAAACAAAATAAAACAGATTAAATTAAATTAAATACAATCTGTAAATACTACAGATATACCAGGAGCACCCTCAAACATGTTAACTCCAGATCTTTGAACAAAGCCAGGTTTTAAACTTTCTGAATTTCAGAAAAGGGAGATACTGTTTCAAATCATACTGTTCAGGCAGAAACAATTGAAGATAGGTCGTCACCCAAATCACTAGGCCTTATCTATCAATGTCATGAACAACTGTGTGAAAACGAGCACCTACAGTCATTGTAATCAAGACATGTTGTGTAGCAGAGGTGAAACATGGGCATAGGGACTTTTACTGCTATATTTGAACCTACTGTTACTTTCAGATAGTCTTCAAGGTCAGCCCCATGTAAATCACATTACAGCAGTCCAATTGTGAGGTAACCAGGGTGTTAATGACCATTTGAAGGACTCCTAATCAAGGAAAGAGTACAACTGGCACACAAGATAAACATGTGCTTATAATCTGGAGAGGGGTTGATTATCTTAATGCTTTTAGATTTGTTCCCTATGCATGATGGATTGGTTTAGATCATTCAAATGGAAGTAAGAGTCACCTGAAATAACTGTAAACATCCATTAGTTCCTGTCTGTTTTAATTATCCTTAATACTATATTTATGTCCGCAACATAAAATGATCTTTCAAAATCAGGGCTATTTAGCTACTACTAAGAACTGGTTGTAGATAACTGTTTTAGTAATTATGTTTGGTCAACCTATTTGCATATTGTTTATAGAAAGGACATTGGAGATAATTTTGTATGCTATGTATTTCAGATCATTTGGGTTTTAAAGAATTGGACTTTAACTATATTGATTTCCATCCCATTCTGCTATTTGCTAGTCAGATTCATAGTTGTCTCAACATCTTCTCTCAGTCACTTAAGACAGTCTTTCTAATCTTAACTGATGGACCCAATTATAAAGGTAAGATAACTCTATTATTAAGAAGAAGCTTAATATAATAAATCAAACTATAAATAACCTTAAAGGACTCTTCTACACAGAGCTGTACTTAACATATGCTTTATTAAGTAGAGTTTATAAATTATACAACCTTTCTCTTCAATTTGCAGCATTTCTATCCCACAGTAAAAAGCCTATTTCAAACAATAATATAATGTCAAACCAATAAAAATAGCCCTCCAAACAGAAGGCACTATATCCTCCATAGATATTGCATTTAACTTCCCTTTACTACTGTACATTTTAACTGCCTTGAAATTGTTCAATAATGCACATATTCCACTGTCTATTTTCCAGCTTCAGATTATCTTCCCATGGAATATTTTAAATAGCTTGGAAATGCTATTTGTCTTTTCAAAGCTACAACTTCTTCTTAAAACATTTGTCCATTAAGCTTTGGGTATATACAAATAAAAATATACTATTTTCAAAATGATAACACAACTTCTGAATAGTCTAGTTCTTTGCACACATATTCTGTGTAGGTTTGATTTTACTTGGTTTAGCAAGAGTGCATTTTAATTTGCACTGATTATGTTTCTTAAAAGAGAAGCTGCCAGTTGAAGCATTTGTTACCGCTGACTATATTTCCTTTGAAATCCTACCTATGTAATAGACTAAATTAGCTGCCACTTAATGCCAGTCTGGAGGCACTCACGGCTGCTATATTGGCACAGCATGTTCGTAAACATTCTGACGCTGACAGAACAAGAGCTAATTACGGAAATGTTAATAATGCATTAACTATGGATGGCTAGATAGGTGGGTGAAATGAAAAGTTGAGTTTTCTTGTGCATAAGACTCCCTTATGTAAAGCCTAGGAAATGGCATGTTGGGTATGAAATAGGGGATAATTTTACATCAGGACTGTCTAGTTCCTCAACATTCAAGGCAAGTAAAAAAAGAAAAAGCTGTAGACAGGATTCCTATGCAGGGCAACAAATCCACACACTATAAGCTGTTGAGATCAAAGGGGAAGAAAAGTGTTCATGTAAAAAAGGAGCAGAATTGCTTGTACAGAAAGCCTGCTTTCATAGATTTCACCCACTCTGTTTTTGATATTGCTTCCATACTCAGTAAGGCCAGCAGTACAAAGGTCAGCTACATAAAGGAGCTTAGCAAGCATAATGAATGTGACACTTGTTTAAAATACAGAGAACATAATACATATAAAACCACTTAGAGTCACTATATATCAATTTCTGAATTCCTTTGTTCTCATGCTGCATACAAATCACCCTGAAAAATATTTCAACTTATTTTTTTTTAAATAATGAATGAAAAGTTGCATTTACCTAAGCATACATTATGGCGTACAATTTTCTTGCTAGAGATTTCATATAGCTGCTTTTTAAAAACTTAATGACTATACAAGTTTCATCTTTATAAAAAGCCATGTCAATTAGTGCTTAAAATTAAAAAGTAGAATGTAGCTACTTTGTGCTAATGGATAACCTTTCTAATTGAAAAGGATCAAAATTTGAAGAAGCCAATCAGCTTGTTCTGAATATCTTTTAAAAAGGAAGGTAAAGGACTAATAAAAATGGAAATATCCTAATGCCAGTTTTAAAATTTCTACAACACTGCTGTGATTTATCTAATTCAACATACTCTTGAAAATAAACCTCTCAGACATACTAGTCACTCAAATTATATAGTTCAACATTGGCCTGTCTAATTGATTACAGCCTACTAAAGACAACAGGTGGTAGACAGGAGGAGGAAAATCCTTAGGAACAAGTATTTTTATATCTATAGATACTGCTGAAGAATTTACATTTTTTCCTCTCCTGCTATGGGCTAATTGTAAAAGTATACACTACATTATCCCTTAAGTCTGCTTCATTAAGTCTGTAGCAACCAGATGAAGGCAGTTGATATCATTTCTGGAATAATTTCTTTAAAACTGGATCCAGTATTCAACTCATCTTGGCTTTAGTAAATGTACTAGCCTAATTAATTGAGCTCAACTCTGTCTAAAATATCAAACCTTTTTTTTTTTAATTTGAAATTATCAGTGAACCTTGTCTTTGCTTCCTAATTTTCTAAGTAAGAGCTAGGGTAAAAGTACAAATTTTGTTGTGTTCTGTTATTTATTAGTTTTATTTCTGGCTAACCTAAAATGTGACTGGATCCCTCTATTTTCTATTGTTTTAAAAGGAACTTGCCATACTGTTGCCATCATTTCCAAAGAATTGAAATTTAGTCCCTTGATCTCATATTTATATTTCAAATATCTGAAAGAAAAGAGAGCCCTCAGTACCAACCTTCTTCACTTCTGAAAATGTTAAAATTTTAGAAAGGAGGACAGTGATGGTTAGGCAGAATTTTAGTGGCAGTATGATTCATAACTTCAAACAGTCCACTTTTTCTCCTCTTCCTGCATTTTCTTTCAGACTTAAAAAATTAAGCAAGCTGTTTCATATCTGGCATACTAGCGGTAAATAAAATACTAAATACATTTGTGCATGCGGCATATGTGTGTGTGTGAGTGTGAGTGAGAGAGAGGGAGGGAGGGAGAAATAGAGAAGGAGGGACAGAGACAGAGAGACAGAGAGAGAGAGCATGAATATGTCCCAATGAGCTCATATCAAGGTTGTCCTAAAAATCATTATGCTCCTGTCATAATCATGTGCGTGTCATTATATTTTGTCATTATTATTTCTTGAACTCTGAAAGTCAGGGAGGGAGGGAGATTGACATTATGACATTTTATTATTCACAATGTAATTTACTTTCTGGGAGAGATACACTGGAAAGAACACAACCCATCATTTAAATTCTAAGAGATTCATGTTCATCCCTGTGACATTAGCCTTAAAAAGTTGAAGCCCACTAGACTGTGGAGTGAATAGACAGAACCCAATGGACTAAAAACAAAAGAACATCAACAAAAGGCTAATTTAAAATTACAGTAATATATGGCTTCTCAATATTTATGGAAGGAAACCCTTAAACAATGTGGAGATTTAGAATCACATTCAAAATGGTATCCTTAAGTATTACATTGTAATGGCACCATTCTCAAAATCTTTAAGAATGAATACACACACACACACACACACACACACACACACACAAAATTACTCCTCCTTTGTAAGATAAATGCAGTTTTTAATTTTTTAAAAAATATGTATTATACTTTTCCCAATCATCACAAACTTTAGGTCATGCTATTTTTATTAATTAACGCAATGATATTGCTCTCCCCCAGTCTTTAATTATATTCATTAAATCACTGCACATAGACATATACAGCTTTCTTATAATAAATTCCCCAATTTTTTGTAACTTTTTGATGAGCTACTTGCTTTCATGAAATTGTTTAGATATATGTATAGGAGAAGTGTGATCTGAAAACTATTTTTTTAAAAATCTATACTAGAGAATAAATTTTTGAAGCAGCCAAGTAAACTTGAATGCCAGGGCTAATTCAGTTACTATAGAAATGTACAGAATGTCCTGTCTAGGAGCAAAAAATTCAATAGAGCCATCTTTCCAGGCATGTGAGCCATCGCCCGTTGCTCTTCTGGGTTCTGGCGCACCAGCCAGCTGGTCTTCATATGTGTGGGAGCGCCGTAAACCGGAAGAGCAGCCACCTGGTGCACATGCATGGGAAGATGATCTTTCGGTTTCTGGCGTGCGTATGTGCACCAGCCAGCTGGTCTTCACGTGCTAATGGTGCCAGAAACTGGAAGAGCAGCTGCCCGGTGCGCATGCATGCACAGGAAACCAGAAGATCATCTTCCCAGCGTGTGCATGCTCACCGGGTGGCTGCTCTTCTGGTTTCCAGCATGCACGCACACACACTCCCATTTTGGCATTCGGTGCCAAAAAGATTCGCCAACACTGGGTTAGTTTAACTCATCGTCTTTAGACAGAATTACAGTTGTTTGAAGAAAGCCATCATTCAGCCATACGTGTAAACATTAAAATAATTCATATACACAAAGGCACAGACACAAAGCAATATCCCCAGTGTCATTTTGCAAGCAGTTCATGGAGTAAACCTTCTGGAATAATATAAAGGCTCTATATTGTTGCACCTGCTTATGACCTATAAGTACAAACATGATGGTGCATAGACAGAATAAAAAAACAACAACAATGTACTTGTAGGCAATCAATGAGCCACGGGGCTTTTTTAAACAGAATCTCTATTAGGAATAATGATCCTGATATTTGGAAAATGCACAGCTTTTCTAGCTTCAGAATATAAATTTTCTTGATAGTTAACATCTGTGTTTCAAGAGTATTTTCCAAGACCAAAAGGATATCACTCCTCTAAGCCACTCTAAGATAAGGAGGAATTTAAAAATAGAGTTCCGTGACCCAGGGGTCATTAATTGATTTCTAGACCAAAAATGAACACATGAATAACTGCTTTGATTTTTTCTATCATCACAAAAATACCTTTCCCACATAACGAATATACTAATGGGAAAGTTTTAAAGATGTTTCTATCAGCCTTTCTACCTCAAACTATTTCAGCTATGGAGCTATCATGAGGTACAGTTCACTAATATACCCTGTATTAATGTGCTGACCTTGGCTGACTTTCAGCTCCAGAAAGAACTCAGAGTGACAATGAAAGTTTGAATTTGAGAGGGGTTATAATCCAGACCTCTCTTGTTGCTGTTTGGAGGTCAATTGGTTGCAGTTGGAAGAGGTAAAGGACATTTCTAATCAGGGTTACAGGAATGTATCCTGTTAGAAGGCAATTATATTAAGAAGGAAAGCAGAGAAACATAAGAAATAGAATGGTCTATATTGTAAGAATCCTAAAGATTTTAACTAAACATATCCTACGTCTGAAGTGTTGAAACAGCCTAACAAGCTGTAGGCCTGATTTGTAAAAACTGTGGATTTTTTTTTCTTCCAAGGGTCCAAGATTGACAGTTCCTGGGAACGGTAACCCTGTTAACCTAAAAAGTATCTGAATGCTGAAGTACAAAGCAGAAATTCAAGCCTCTTCATTTTCCTGGGCAGAACTAAGAAAAAAGAGAGCTTTTTTCCCCTCTAACAACTTTGACCATTAAGGTGATCTATAAAATTGGAATATTATTAACATAAAAGAACTCTGTCCACCAGTAGAAGTCTTTGGTAGGGAAAAGGCATAATGGGACCTACTGAGGGTACCAGCAATAATGGAATATACATAAAATCTCTGCTTAAAGCAGCTCAATATAACTTTATGAGAGGTGTTCCCTTACTAAAATCAGCTAAATAATTAACTGATAATCACATTCAATAGACTTAGGAGATATGGCATATGTTTGGCCATAAATACTATTAGATTTGAGTAAACACTCTTGTATTTAATTTTCAAAAGTATTAAAGAAAAGACATTTTAAAATATAAAAGGAATGATGTGTACATGTGTGTGCATATATGTATGTCAGTAGGGGTTTCAGGAAAAAAATGATATTATATATCTGGGGTAACAATCAAAAGTTTTAACAACATACCTTAATGATTCACCTTCCAAATCTTTTTGTTATGATTGATGAAGCCTGACTATTCGTGAATGGAGGAATGGGTGCACAAAACCATAATGCTGCATGATATTATATACTAGCATTCTAGTGAAAATGGATTCACCACCCAATAGGACACTTTATTTGTGGAACCAAGAAATATAAATATTTTTCTAATGGCTAGGAGGGCTTTGGTATATTGCTACATTTACCTTGCTTTGAGAGACACACTCCAGTTATCTAATGGGTAAGGTAAAAGTAGAAGTACTAGAGAAATATTTTGAAAAGGTGTGTGTAAAGAATGAGAGGAAAAGCCAGAGAAAGAGATCACTATAACTAATCTAAGATGTGATCTTAAAATGTTAAACAGATTTAGCAATTATGTTGATGTATTTGTTGAAGGAGTAGTCCTCTGTGGAATAAAGTTCTTTGCAAACTCTCTTTTTTCAGTGTCCCTGTCCTCTAGACTGTTGTAGAAAGACACTGCCTTGTTGTCTTAATCAGAGCCTATGGGGGAAACTATATCCTTGCTTAAATCTGAACCAATTTGGAAGCTGTATCATTGGAGATCACATCTTTTCAAGATGCAGGATACATTAGTGCTGCCCCCAGGCTATATGATTACTTACTACTCTAAGGACTATTGGCTTGTTGAGTAACACTTCAGTTTAAGTTATTGTATTTCAATAAAAGTGGCAACCTTGGTCTTTAAACCAAATTATTAGTGTGTTCTGTTTTTCTTTCTGCATCATCTAGAATGGCATTTTCAAACACATTCTTCTGAGTATCCGTAGAAAGCCTTTCAATTATTTTCCAAGGCAAAAAACTCCACCAACAATAACTAATTAGATGTTCTCTCTTAAAGCATACTAAACTAAATTCCATTTGCACATACACTAGAATAACTTCCATTACCAATTCAAGGAGAACTAAGTCCCAACCTTATCTATATGGGCCCATTCTGGGTCCATTAACTGGGCCTATTTCGGTGGCTCTTTATCAAGTTAGTAAAAAACGAGAGACATAGATAAATGAATAGAGAAAAAATATGGTTTGCCCAAAGGAATTTAGATGAGCAGAATGACAACACTACAACAGACTCTGAAGCATTAGGCAGAGAATGCTAACAACTATAGAATCCATAGATTTCTTACCTCCAACTTCTTACCTTCAAAGTGATTTCATTGTATATAGGATCACCAAATTTATTATGCAGATAAGGTGGTTAAGAAAACAGTATTAAATAGTTTGCTGAGTAAATTTTTGATATACACAAATATATATTATACATGACTAATATTTGACAAAGAAAGAAAATGTGGGTGGATTTGGAGATTTAATATATTTGAAGAAATATGATGCATTATCTATATAAATCAGGATTTCATTTAGGCAAAATATTTACTATTTTTAGCTCCTGACTATTGAGAAATTAATATTTACATTCAGATATGATTTTAACTTCTGTGTAAATAGCTAAGCTTTCTGATAATATTCATTGAATATCATTACTTCACAGAAAAGTACCATTGTGGCAATATATACCTTATGGATATAATTGTTATCACCCTTCAATGTTTGGGTTGAAGCTGATGCAAATAGAAGTAAACTTTCATCCATAGAATTCCCACAATCAAATTAAATTCTAAGATTGAGGGACTTGAAGTTAAATTCCATCTTATGTTTTCAGTCTCAAAATGAGTGTTGGCTAGTTAAAATCAGAACCCCAGGTTTAAATATATTATTCCTTCAACTCCATGTATCTTAATTTAGTTTGTTTGTTTAACCCACAAATAGGTAAAAATGTTTGCTGGAAATTCAACCAGGCTTTGTACAGAATGTACAGAACTCCAAAAGTGGATGAGGCAAAGTCTAGTGCATAAAAGTTTAAGGAATCAGACTTATTTTTAAATTCCGTCAAACTTTGAACAACACAGGGAGAGGGAGGGAGGAGAGGGAGGGAGGAGAAACAGAAGAAGAAACAGAAGGAGATCTACAGGTAAGGAGTGTTATTTAGCATTTGGGCCTTCTTTTTTTGGATTCCAGAGGCCATAAAAGGGATCTTAGCAGGTTACATGTATTCTCCAAGTTGCTTATTGTACTCATAGGCATCTGAGGGATCAAGAGATTTATCACACAAATGCATCAGTTTCAATACTTATGTAAGGTGTAAAGATTCAAATACTTAATAGTGGTATTTGCACACGTTAAAAGAAAAGCCATTTTTTCAGCTTAGCCAAATTCTTTATAAATTAGCAGCTATAAGCTAAATATGAAAACGAGAAACCAGGAGGACAGGCAAGCAAGGTAATATATACAATTTTAGGTTATTTTCCTCAACAAATAAATGAAGGTGTATAATATTTTTGATTTGTTTAATTGGATTCTCTTTATCTACTCTTAGAACTTGTGTGACAAATATATCATGTTTCATATTTATGCAAAAATATTAAAAATTGAAAAAAGTTCACAAACTTTAGGCACCAGTATATTGCTACATTTACCTTGCTATGAGAGACACACTCCAGTTATCTAATGGGTAAAGTAAAAGTAGAAGTACTAGAGAAATATTTTGAAAATATGTGTGGAAAGAATGAGAGGAAGAGCCAGAGAGAGAGATCACTATAACTAATCTAAAATGTGATCTTAAAATGTTAAACGTTAAATGTTAAATGTTATACTCCTTCATTTATTTGTTGAGGAAAATAACCTAAAGTTGTATATAATACCTGTTTAACATTTTAAGATCACATCTTAGATTAGTTATAGTGATCTCTCTCTCTGGCTCTTCCTCTCATTCTTTCCACACATATTTAGGCACAAGAAACTTTAGGCACCAGTATACATTGAAAAATTCTAATAACTGCAGAGAGAAGAGGAAACGACCAATTTCTTCAGTACTTAAATTCACTTAGCAGCAGAGAAGAAGTGAAAGACCTTGAGATGTTCAGTATTAAAAATTAAATGAAGCAAAGAAAGAAGTTGAGCTGCTTGGACAATTTTTTTTCCATTTGGGCAAACTTCTCCCATCACTCCTAGCCAGTAACTTGGTTAAGCCTAGTTGACTGTGGTTCAAATGAAAGTAGATATATGAATGGTATGTAAAGCTAGCTTTGCTTAGGAAAATCAATAAAGCTTTATTATCCACTCAGGTACTATATAACTTTATTTAGAAAAACTTTAGACTATTTTCAGGATCTCTTCTCTCATTATCAATCTGAATACATGTTTTCTCTTACAATTCACTCTCTCATTCTGCCTGTATACCAGGATTGGCTGTCCTTCTTTTTTTACCCATACCCAGATCAATTGCTGGGAGAAATCCAGTGACCCCCTTAAAACTGGAAAGCAAGAGTAAGGGAGAGGCCACAGCATTTATTTCTCTACAGGGCAACAAGTTAAGTGTGTCTGACTATAATTGGGCAGATTCCATAAGAATCTGGATTTTTGTAATACATGTTGACATCATCACGTGCATGCTGTCATTTTGGTGTCATCACAGTTTGCTGCAAGCACTACAATTGCATTCTACTTTAATCTAAGGTTCTAAGGTTAAACTAAACAAAAGATGAACTTTGGGCCTATGAAACTTGCATTTAACACAAATGTCCCTTTCTTCAACAGAGAAGGTTTATGTAATTGCAAATAGGATTTCAGGTGTATTTTTACCAGTCCCACCATTTATTTTAAAGTACAAAGCCAGGATTATCTCAAGCATGTTTCTAATATGTGTTTGTTGTTTTTTTTTTTTTAAAAAAAAACCACTGATTTAATTGTAATCTTGCTGATTTACACAAAGCATACATTTTTCTCCCTCCATTTCAGTTAAATCTTGTTCTAATGTTATTTCGATTGTGAAGTTTGCCTTCTTCCTCTTCCTCTTATCTCAAGCAAAATGTGGCCAACCCTTTTTTCAGAGCTTCATCTTTAAATCCCTTTTCTATGCACTATTGATATGTTCCAGTTTGCGTATATCCTTTTTAATATGTAATGTTAACTTTGAACATAATGCTCCAAGTTTTGTCTAAACATGAAGAAATACCATACCAGAAGTACCATTGTTTGTCATACTTCTGCTGGTGTAGTCTAGAATGACATGAAACATTTTTTATTACTACATTCATGTTATTGACTTGTATTTAGCTAGTTTTAATGCATATAAAATAGATATCTGGATCTATTTCATGTATACTGTTGCCAGGCCATATATAAACCATAATGCATTCTTGCACATAATTTTCTCTCTCTAATTACAGAACCTTATCTCTCTTAAAGTTCATTTTCAAATGCAGTTCTCCATTTCTGACAATATAATTTCATTAACCTAATCATTATTTTGCTATTATCTTTCACTTTTTTCCCAACACCTACTGCACCTTTTCTTTGAGAAAAAAAATCAGTATAATATTCACTCTGTATATTATGTGAAAGGATTTCAAATAATTCTCAATATTTGTTTAGTAAAAGTGTAAATATTGATCTTCAAATACTTTGATTTACAGATTAGCATTTTCAAATTGTGATACCCCCAAAGAAATAACCACAGTTTTTGTTTGTTTTTCTCCCTGCAATTTATTTTCACACCAATGTGTGATTCTTTCCAAGTTAATGGATAAATTCGTTCATCTCTTTCTTTATTATAAGGCAAAGATAAATAAGTCTTTTTCACTCAATCTGCTGAGATAACTTGTGCCCATGCCGAAAGGTGATCTGTTCTAATCAACTTCACGAAGTCTGATGGAATTACACCGAACATATTTCATACCTGACACAACTACAGAATGATACAGTTCAGGACAAACATTGGTGACCTGAATAATACATGACAGACAGATGACCGGGTGAGAAAAGTAATTTTTCACCTACAACACTTGAGTTTCTTTATTAAAGGCTGAGACATATTTGATGGAAAGAAGGTAGGTTTGCCAGCTAAAAGCTGGTGTGCTTTATTAATAGTTTAGTAAGTATTCCCTTGTCATTTTACTACTTGAAACATTTATTTTGACAATAAAATACTACATGCATATAGTTTGCATTGGAAGGAAGCATTTAAATAAATTCCCATAATAACACTAAGTCACAAATCATAGACATTATAAATTCATCAGTTAATACTACATGAAGAAAACTAGACAATGCAAATACTTTTTCTAATATACTGATATACTCCTAATTGAATAATATAGATATCTATTATTAAATTTCACCCATTAATTATATTGCATTGATTAACTGACCTATAAAACTAATAATAGTTCATTTCATAATTTGTTTGAAAAAAAGAAAGTATGTACAGGAAGAAACTGTGGAATTACATACCTGGTTCTCCCTAAATGGCACATGGCTTATCTAGTCTTCAAATCCACCACATTATTGTAGATGCTTGTGTTACAGAAAACTTCACACAAAGATTTCCCTATCTCAAGACTAATGATAGAACATCAACTGGAGAAGAGACATCACATGCATTATGACCAGATCATGCAAATTACAAACATGACATAATATATGTGATGATGTCCTGACAAATATGATGTCAATGTGACTTGTACACTTATGGATAACATAGTCTGAGTCTTGTAGACATTCATGATTCAGTCATTCAGCCAAATAATATGAGATCATGTGGGTGCTCCGAACATATTTCATACCTGACACAACTACAGAATGGAGGTTTTTAAGAAGAAATTGGACAATTTGACTGAAATAGTATAGGGC